CAATCGGTATATAAAAAATACATCTGGATACGTCACCGTCACAACTTAGACCAATAGTATGTCCTGATTCGAGAAAGACGACTTAGTGAAATTGCTGAGTACAGTGACCGACTATCGCAGGGCTCGGAAATATTCCAAGTATAAAACGGCCTCCATCATTAAGTTGACCTGGTGGAAGATCAAAACCCTGCGACTTGTAGAGAGGAAGGACGATAGAAAATGTGGATAGTTGGTTTTTGGGCTGATGCTGCCTTTATTCAGTCAAAAAGAACACCGACTGGGACCGGGCATATAAGCACGAGTTGGAACGCGACGCAAACGGGGTCATCGAACTGAGGTTCATCAGTGCCTCGCCACCTGTCATTCTTTGCCAGCGTAAATCGGGTATTCATCCAATCAGGAATAGCCGCACACCGTTATATTGGCCTTCCGAAGCAAACGGGCTCCGTATACGTAGCAAAGGTCACGGAAAAGCAACTAACTACGAGGACAAAGCCGGTCAAATTAGAAGTGCAGAGAGGAGGGTAGACAGCAAATGCGGGTAGATTAATACAAGCTGCTTGGAGTTTATTTGGGTTTCATCCAGCCAATCAAAACCCTGACCACCAGCTGGGACAAGAAACAAAAACGCGCCCGTGCATCACGGCACAAGTGGTCCACAAATGGGACAAAACTGACTCCTAGAGCGCGCTCCTTCGTTTTCATCAACAAAACTCAGAGTGCCGTTTTTTGATCACGCCATCTCCTGACACTCACTACGATTTTTAAACAAAATTTGGAGTAAGTAAAGAAAAAGTAGTTCTTAATCGTGATACTGTGAGGCATATAGGACAGGATAAGGAATTCGATAAGGGTCCATTGACCACAGACAAGAAATACAACGCTAAGACCACCGCCTGTGAGGATACCGAGTAAAATAGACGGCAAAGGGGATAGTGACAGTGGGTGACACATTCAACAAACAATAACAGAAACTCATAAATATGACTTAGGTGGTTTTGTAGTACCGATTATCATGATGCATGCTTCCAAGATATTTCAGTCAGGTCA